GCTGATATAATCTGTATGCATTTTATGAAAATCTTTCTGGATGCAATGGAGATTAATAGAATAAAAGATACAGGGTGTCAAATGGAAAAAACATTTGGGAGGTTACTGAATAGGATATAATACTGGCTTGGAGACAGAAAAAGATTTCAAGATCTATTTTGGAATTAAGAATAGAGTTAGCATATGACCCAGCAACCCCTCTCTGGGTATATACCTGAAAAACTCAAAAACATCTTTTGCTAAGTGAAAATTTAGAGTAGCCTATATAGTATTTACTGCTAAGTCAAAAATCTCTTCCCTATTCTTGTGGCCAATTACTACTCTTAAAGTTTTTAGAAGTTTTATATTTATGTTAGAATTCTTAATCTTCCTTAATCAGCCCATTCTGATGCTTTTTATATTTAATGTATTACTTGATAAAGATGATAAGTAATAACATCTGTAGTAAGCATATTGCAATATATAACCAGCATATATCAAACCAACAGGTTATATGCCTCAATCTTATAAAATGTTATATCAATTATATCTCAATTTTTAAAAATTGAACATATTACTATTTGAGGGAGGAAAATGGGACAAAGAGTAAGAATATTATATAATAAATCTACTCTTCAGATAACAGCTTTGAAAAATTGCCTTGAAAGGGGATTATACCTGGTGGTATTTAATAAGATATTTTTAACCTTTTTTTTTTTTCATTATCCTAAGAAGAAAGGAGAGGTAAGAAATAAACTTGAATTTGAAATATCAATGATTTCCTTTAATTTCATGAAATACCAAGTTACTATATAAAGCTGAATATATTTGATACTCTAAAAATTGAACTATCTTGGAAGAGTCAACTTCAAACCCCAGCTGTCAGTTATCATGTCAAGTTAAAAGAAATACTGCTTTCCTTACATCTTTTGAAAGAAGATGGAAAAAATACTTTTGGAGGACTACTTAAATCACCAAACAAAAAATAAAAATAGTATGGCCTAGCCAATTTGGTTCAGTGGATAGAGTGTCAGCCCTCAAACTGAAGGGTCCTGGGTTCAATTCCAGTCAAGGGCATGTACCTTGGTTGCAGGTTCAGGTTCCCCGGCCCTCGTCAGGGTGCATGCAGGAGGCAACCAATCGATGTGTCTCTCTCACATCAATGTTTTTCTCTGTCTCTCCCTCTTCCTTCCACTCTCTTTAAACATCAATGAGAAAATATCCTCAGGTGAGGGGAGAGTGGAAAAGAAGGAAATAGAATGAAACTTCCATGAAGGTCAATGGCTAAAATTTTGATTTTAAAAGATACATCTCCACTGGGAATGTGGGGGCTCGGTGGACAAAGGTTGTTAGAAAGGTAATAAAGAATCAATAGCTACTTGACCCTTTCTTAAGAATCTCTGTAGTCAGCTAGTTAATTGAAGAAATTGAAATTCTACACAGGTAGAACTGAGGATAATGTTAACTGAATATTTGTTGTATAACAGTCACAGTGCTAAGTACCTTATTATTTATAATTTCATATAATCATTTACATAAACCTGGGAGATATTGTTAGCTTCATTTAACACATGAAGAAACTGAGACACATATAGTAGGTCAAGTAACATGAAGGTGATATAGTCAGGGTTAACTAAAATGCCAAATAGCTTAACTTCAACATTAAATGATCTCTATGTTGCTTCTGCTCTGAGTGTGTTGCTAGATTTTTTCCATCAAGTTGACTTCTCTCATAAAAGCACAAAAGCGATTCTGCTCTTAGATCCATTCTTAGTCCCATCCAAATACAACTTCAGAGACCAAGTAAATGACTTCAGTTATCAAATGAATTGTATTTTGTTTCGTATTCATGAACTCTAATCTGCTCCAGGATCTGTTCTCTTAAAAAATAAAAACCGGTTTGGCTCAGTGGGTAGAGCATCAGCTGTAGACTGAAAGGTCCCAGGTTCAATTCTGGTCCAGGGCATGTACCTTGGTTGCAGGCATATCCCCAGTAGGGGGTGTGCAGAAGGCAGCTGATTCTTTCTCATCGATGTTTCTAACTCTCTATCCCTCTCTCTTCCTCTCTGTAAAAAAAAAAAAAAAAAAAAAAAAAAAAAATCAATAAAATATATTTTAAATAAAAATAAACCAAAAACCTGCCCTTGACCATAAGGAAGACTTTCAGTGAATAAAAACAACAGAAATTGAAATGTACAGAATATTTTGGAAAACTGCTTGCTGGCATCTATAAACTTCAGTGCATGGGTGCCCCAACCCAGCAATTCCAAAAATGTGGTATGTATGCTTACCAAAAGACTAGTCCAAGAATGTTCACAGCAACACTATTCATAATAGCCCCAATCTGGAAATGACCCAAATGCCCTTCAACATGAAGAATGGGGAAACAGTGGTATATTCACAATGAAACCAACAAACCATGGCCACATGCAACTACCTAGATGACACTCACAAACATAATGATAAATGAGAAAGCTAGACAAGAAAGAGTTCATATTGTGTGATTCCATTAATATACAGTTCAAAAACAATCAAAATTAATCTATGGCATTAAAAGTCAGGATAGCAATGACTCTTCAGAGGGGTAATAACTGAAGAGGCAGTAAAGGGGAGAAGTGCCTCTGCAAAGTTTTTTAAAAATTAACACTTCCATCTGAGAATTTCCTAGCCTTCCATTTGTATCTAAACATAATTCATAACTATCAAGATTTAAATTATTTCCTTAACAAATAAAGAATATGACAAAAAACATAAATGGGTAATTCTACTAGTATAGTAGTATGGTAGTATGGTACCATAGTCTTAAATAGAATAAAATATTTAGACTATTTTATTACATGTTGAAAAAATAGCTTTAGTATAAATATTTTATTAACTACAAGAAGGAAATGGGCAAAGAGAAAACACAGACAGGCAGGAAATAAAAGTTTATCTAAAAATTTCCTTTGCAAAATAATACTCTGACAAAGATGAGTTAGTGGAAAGAACAAATATCCTGAAGCATACTCCAATATTGTTCCCAACAAGGTTTGTTTTACAAAGCTACTTTGCTCTGTTAAGGTTTGTTATTTATTTCCCTGGTTAACATAATGTTGTGATTACAACCTACTCCATGTTTTGGAGAGCTAAGCTATGCAACTTCCTAAAACAGCTACAGAGCATCAGTTTAAGAGATGGGAAAGTGACATCTATCTACGATGCTCTTATTAATTTTCATGAGCATTAAGATCTTTCAAACACGGTGATTATGAATCACAGTTGACAAGTGATAAGAAGCCTTATAAATTTTCTTTTCTTTGCTGTCAATGTTGCTAATTTTTCCTAGGAACTGACATTGGAAATTCAAGTGTTTTCAAGATGAAATTTCCTAAAAAACTATATATCTGGGTTCCAGAAGACCTGTGGACAGTCTCCAATATAAGGTAGAGATGACTTTAGACAGTCACCATTCCAATGATCACATTGTTCTGACTTTGAATAAGACTTTAGCTCTTAATTCTGCATTCTTCCTTTAAGGTTAAATTTAGATAGTCATTTTAGAATCTAATTTGTAAGTAAAACAAGTAGAATTAATGTGTTATCAACCAGGTTCTCTAGCTGCTGTGCATTCAGAATGTGGGAACTTGTTCTGTGACCCTCAGCAAGATGCTTGACCTTTCTTTATCAAAATATGTTGCAAATCTTTAAAAATCTTACCTGTCTACAAAATGCTCTGCACCGTCAAGCATTGTAAACTACCAACTAGAACCTTTGAACCCAGCTATACTTACACAAAATGGCCCCTGTCATAGTAGACTGAAATATAATAATCATGCTTTATACGGCTGATTCATTTTATCGTTTCAATTCTTGCTTTTATAATTAAATTTCTAGTGTCTAGGGTGATTAAAATAGACTTTTCTTTTAAGAAAGAGGGAACCTTCTGTAAGAAAAGTAATATAATAATACAAAAACTGCCTAGATTTTATTAGGTTATTCTTTTGACTACTCTAACTTTTAAAGTTAAGACGGCTATATTTTTATACACATTTATATTCTGAATTACAAGATTCTTCTCTCCAGCAACTTTCTATCACTGCTAAGACTCAAACATTTTGATGGTTAGTATATGAGATATATATATGTAATATTGCTTATTTCTTGAAGAGAACAAAGGAAATAAATGTAGTCATCTTAAGAAATTAAAAGCAATAAAAGAAATAAATACTAGAGATACCTAAGAAATTATGCAAACTACTTTTTTTGAAATAATTTACTGTCTGAAAATATACCTATATGATGCAGAAACTTTGTCACTTCTTTATTATCTGGATGGAGTCTCAAACATCATATACAAAGAGATATCTTATGAATTGAGGATTTAATTATTATAAAACTTTAACTCTTGGCATATAATTGCATTATTACTAAAAACACCTGATTCTAAATTATTTATTTAACTTTAAAGGTCCTTTATATTAGTAGCCCATTATTATACATATGGATTTATTATGAATTTAACTATGCAAATTTAGTTACCTCATTTTACTTTGTAGAAATTATATATGCCTTAATTTTCTCATTTCTCACAAATAACAAAATTTCAATTAAAATAGTCTTTACTGCCGAAACTAGTTTGGCTCAATGGACAGAGCGTCGGCTTAAGGACTGAAGGGTCCCGGGTTTGATTCCAGTCAAGGGCATGTACCTTGGTTGTGGGCATATCCCCAGTAGGGGGTGTGCAAGAGGCAGCTGATCGATGACACTCTCCCATTGATGTTTCTAACTTTCTATCTCTCTCCTTTCCTCTCTGTACAAAATCAATAAAATATATTTAAAAATAAATAAACAAACAAATAAACAAACAAACAAATAAATAAATAAATAAAATAGTCTTTACTAAAAATTCAAATAGAACTTTTTGGTCAGTACTTATAGCTTATGTCACAGGAAAGAAGAAAATGAAGACAACTTAAACCACTGTGAGCAGAAACAATGCTCTTTCTCTTTGGGCTTAGGTCTGAGAGAGGGGATCACTCTACCTCACAGAGCAGTAAGTCAATGATGTGGAAGACCATGCAGAGTGGGAACTTGGCGGTGAAAAGAGTGAGAAACCACTGGGAAGCATACATATGGGCCTCCAGGTTCAGGTCACAAAAATGGCTGTGCAGGTCCGGTAGCTGCTCCTAAAAGTCAGAGGGGAAGATTTAGTGGGCGGAACATTGAAGAAGCTTTGTTTCCTGTCACAACTGCCATTTATGACAAGCTTCTGATGAACACTTTTCATTTTCCTGAAGTAATCCATGAATTGCATAACTTCACTGAAGTGAGGACAGGAGGTGAGGATTAGGGACAGACTTGTTAAGAACAAGTAACAAAGACCATCTCCTGCTCACTCGACTGGTCTTGTTTCTGGGGAATGTTCGCCTGCCTCCTGAAGAACATCGTGACTGCAGGGTCAAGTGACAGAATCCCCTTTCAGGGGTCACCATTTATGTCTCCTTTACGTCTTTTACCTTCCCCACCCCCCTATCCCTCTTGTTCAACTCCTGACTAGCTAGAAAAGAGATGTACTTGTCAACGTCATCTGGCTTTTATGCTATCACTTCAGTATATTTTTTGAAACTTATAAAAGGCCAAAACATAAGCAATATTTTACAAAAAACTATCTTTGGGACCTTAAAATAATGGCAAAGTACAGAAACTGCAAGTGTATTATGTATGAAATTGAATGTCTCCTTAAAATGTCTTTATGCTAGTATTATCTTTTTGCCCAAGTTATACCAGAAAATGCATTTCAAAAGCATGAAAGGCCAAGTACACAGCATTAGTACAGAATTCCCATAACTGAAAGACAAAGGCAAACATAAAAGCCCACTTTCATTTTGTTTTCATAAGGAGACCACAAAATAAAAAACCCACTTCTTGTACAAGATGCTCTTTGAAAAATACCCAAATGTGCCTATCTAGTACTTTAACTGGGGTGCTCAATGGTCATCCGATTAACAGACAGAAGGTGTTAACAGAAAAATGTGCTTGGGTTTCTGTTTTGTTTCTTTTGTTAATCCTCACCCCAGGATATTTTCCATGTTTTAGGGAGAGAATGAAAGAGACAGATAATCATAGATGTGAGAAAGATACACCAATTGGTTGTCTCTGACACATGCCCCAACCATGGCCAGGGATCAAACCACACTATGTCCCCTTGATCAAAAATTGAACCTGTGACCTTTCAGTGCACAGGCCAGAGAACACTGGCCTGGGTGTGCTTGGGTTTCTTCACAGTACCATAAATTTGCCATTCAATTATCAGGTACAATTATTTGACCCACAAGGTGCTTAAGGATAGTGACCTTTAAAAAAAAATAAGCTTTTATAATAAGATGAAAATCGAATAATCCCAAACAAAACTTTTCTTGAAAGAATTAAATCTCTAATAAAGAGCCTATAGCTTTAATGCCCTTAGTTACCAGATCCTCTTCCTTCTTTCTTCCTCACAAAGCCCATTTGTCATTGGACTTACAGTTTATTTGACATCCTTCCACCCTTTTATTTCTTCTTCCCATTTGAGGACTCCCACCCTCCTACATTCCCTTCTCCCAGGAAAGCTGTCCTTTAGCTCACTGCAAACTCTCCATCTCCACTCCCTGTTCCCACAGTCTCTTACTAGCTTCACTTCCCTTTTCAAACACCTGTGGATCTCCAGACAGGTCATGCCAATTAATTCCTGCCAAGATCTTCTGCTGCCACATCCCACTAACCTTACTCCCCAAACATTTCACTTTTCCCCATTATGGAATAAATCCTTTCATGAATTTTTTTTCACATTTCTCTTGCATTTTCAATACCTCATAAAGAGAATACATAGATCCATTATAAAGGTATGATTTCTAATCTCAGTGGAATTCCAAAGCTACTCATTTTTTTTGTCAGCATTAATCAATAATTTTGCCCTTACAATCTTTTTTATTATGTAATATTTTATATAAATATGTTCCTCATATGTTTAAATTTATACATACATATTATAAAATAGGAACAACTCTAAGATCAGGAAATTATGCAGGAATTTTTTAAAATTTTTTATTGAATTTATTGGGGTGACATTGGTTAATAAAATTATATAGGTTTCAGATGTACAATTATATAATACATCATCTGTATATTGTATTGTGTGTTCACTATCCAATGTCAAGCCTCCTTCTGTCACCATTCAACTCTCTTTTACCTCTTCTACTTCCCCTACCTTCCCATTCCCTCTTATAATCATCATACTGTTGTCTGTGTCTAGGAGGTTTTTTTCCCTTAATCCCTTCATCTTATGTGGGAAGATTTTTAAAATATGTCTCCACATTAAAATATTTTACGTGTTTTTTACCTCCTATCAATATTTTTCTATCTTTTCAAAGTATTCTCTATATGTAGACCTAAATATGGTATGGGTACCTGTGATAATTAATACAGAGAAAACTCTTAAATATTTCAATTTTTACTCTGTAAATATCTTTATTTATTTACAAATAATATTCAACAATCTCTTCATTAACTTAACTCATTATATTCTCATCCAAAGTGTATTAAAGTTGACGATACTTTTTCAAGTGGTCAAATGGTTAAACAAATATTTTATAATATTAACACCAATTTAGATATTGGTCAGAAACCAAATCCATATGCATTTTCTGTAGAATTCCATTAAATTTTCATAAATCATGATTGTTCATCAATCTTATTAGACTTTTTCTGTAACACAAGAGATAAAACCCCCAAACTTTTATTTACCTGCAATAGTCTCTCCAACTGATAAAATTTGCAATGAAGATCTTCAAAATTGTTTTTGTAGAGATCTCGTAAACCATAGTCATACATGATTTTCACCAAAACACAGAATGCTTGTTCTTCTGGCATCTACAGAAAAACATATATACAGAGCATAACTGAGTGGCATTTGGCCAGACTGTCAGACATTTCCTTCACGTTGTTAATCTTCTACATTAATAGCTGAAGGCCTGTACTGAATGAAGTGCTTCAGAGCCAGCCTTCTGCATTGTTACAGGTAAAATCTGTTTTTCACAGCTAGTAACTTCTTCACTTGAGATGATCTTCCCTCTTTTGTTAATTTAATCATCCTTCATTTATTCACTCACTACATCACCTTAAAAATAGGTAACACAGCCACGTGATTCAAAACTAAAAACAGTGTAAAAGTACAAAAGGCAGAAGTCTCACTGCTCTCTATGCCCAGGACACTAACCCCTGTGTCTGATCCCATCACTTTTGCATAATTTCATAACTACTCTTAATAATGTCTTGTGTATCCTGCAAATCTTTCTCTATGCAAGTAAAATAATTGTATTTCTTATTTTATTTTTTGCCTTTTCTACATAAAAAATAGCTGGCTTTTTTCCTCAGTAATATTCCCAAAGAGGGATTGCTTGATTAAAGGATAAACACATTTTTAATTTGGATAAATAGTGCAATACTGTCCTTCCAGAATCTTCTTAGTGTTGCTATTTTTCTTTCTATATAAAAACAATTTCCAGGATGAATCTTGTGTGCTTCTACCATTAAGGTTCAAATGACCAATAAAATCTAATATACCCTCCCAGAAGTATTTTTTGTGAATAAAGAATAAAGTCTGAAATCAAAGAAACAATCTCTAATTTGTGGTGGGATTGAAAAGTACAGATTGGTAGTTACAAAATACACATGGGGATGTAAAGTACAGCACAGGGAATATAGACAATAATATTGAAATAACTATGCATGGTGCCAGTGGTCATTGGAAATAACAGGAGGAATACTCTGTAAAGTATATAATAGTCTAACCACTATGCTAATACAGTATAATATTTAACGTAAACTGTAATTGAAAAATATTTTAAAAATTTCAATTAAGTAAAAAGAAAGAAAAAGTGCAGATACCCCATGGTGCACTTATAAGAACCTAATAGGGCTGTGACTTCCAAGTTTTAGGCTGTAGAAATGAAAAAACTACAATGTGATTAACAAAAAGAAAAAGATTTGACTATGTTCTAACTTCCCCCGTTGTGTTTACCTAAGTGACTTCCTGAGACTCTTTCTTCTTGACCATATAAGCCCACTTATGCCTCACCACTGGGGGTCCCTGTAATCCGGTCCCCAAAGAAGCCCAAAGAAGCTCTCGTGCAAAAAGTGGACACGAGAAGAGATCTGCAATTTTTAGCCCTTATTTGCTTCAATTGCCTTTGGAGGAAAAGCCTGGCCAGTGCCTTGTTCTCAAGAACGTTATAGCCTGTGAAAGACCGATGTCCCCCTGGCTTGTGTTATACAATTGCAGCACAAGGAATATAGAGATTTTCATTATCTGTTGCCTGTTTGCTGAAAAAGTTGACTAGATTTGGTAACCGAAAAACAGTACTCTCCTACAAAACACACACACACACACAAAACAGTGCTCTCATACAAAACACACACACACAAACAAAACAGTGCTCTCATACAAAACACACACACACAAACAGTGCTCTCTATTTCAAATTACTACTAATTTAATTTAATTAAGGCATTTTGAACAAAGGAAGAAATCTTAGTGTAGACTATTTCTAAAGAATGCAACTTCATTATTTTTAAAGAGTTTAAATCAAATTAGTGGATCTCAATGGCTTGCTTTAATGAATAGGTAATAATTTTTTATTAGTAAATTAGGTAATAAGTGTTTCTGAAACTTTTGAGATATGTGAAAATGGTCTATACTTTAAGTAATTTTAAGTATTCTTTCCAAAATCTTGTCAATGATATCTATACTAATAAAAGGGTAATATACTGAAGACCTTCCAGACATCTTCCGAACAAAGCTATGGTGGCGGGGCCAAGGCAGAGGTGATTAGGGAGGATCAGGCCAGGAAGGGCGGGCAGTTGGGAGTGATCAGGCAAGCGGGGGTGGGGGCAGTTGGGAGCCAGCAGGTTGGCAGTTGGGGATAAGCAGGCCAGCAGTGGGGGATGTTGGGGGCAAGCAGGCAGGCAGGTGAGTGATTAGGAGCCAGCAGTCCCGGATTGTATAAGGGATGTCCGACATCCCCTGAGGGATCCCTGGTTGGAGAGGGTGCAGGCTGGGCTGAGAGAAATGCATGCATGAATTTCATGCACGGGGCCACTAGTTGTATCATAATATAGAAGCGGGCTTATTTGAGAAAAGGAAAACCAAAGCTTAGACTCTGTTTAAATACAGCATTAAAAATTCTGAATTAGGAAAGTAAAAAATAAATATTAGGGTTCTTTGGCCACAGTTTATAAAAATTTAAAAATAAACAAATTGAGGTCTCAATAAGCTGAAAGAATTCAGAGAGACATATATGCAATATTGTAGTCTCTGTTCTTCACTAACTTTTGCTTTCTCTGACTTCCAAAGCTCTTGTGGCATGTAGTGAAGTTATTTTTATGCTCTTACTAACCTAGGAGTGTGCTTTAACTTTGCATCCCCTAAAGATCTTAGCATACAGACTTAAATATCAAGTATTAAATATTTGTTTAGGATAACTTTAGCAAAACTGAATACATCTGCCTTCATCAATGAAGGCACACAGACAAGTAGGGCAATCTGTGACAACTGCAAAGGTAAGAGCCAGCAAAAATGTAGAGGGAAAGGACGGGTGTGAAAGGGGAAGCAAGAGGCAGCCAAAGGTAACTATATCAGTTCTTGATCTCTTTTAATATTACAAATGCTAAATATAAAAATCTTTTCTATTATCTGTAATTTGTATTGGCTATTAAGCTTGCCCCTCAATTAGCATAAAGAAAATCCATCAAGATCTGAGAATCAACACCTAGCTGTACTGTCATCCTCACCTTACTACATGAGTGGGTTCCCCACTACATAGTATTGTGTCACTGCCAGCTTTTTTAAAAAGCATTAAAATAACTAATTTATAAAAACAATGTTTCATTGAATTAGACATGCCAATTTTATCATTGGTATGTAATTGGTCTGAAGTACAAAAATAAGTCTTTGAACAATACCTTTTTAAATTAAATATGAGATGTTATAACATGATGGGTCTCTTAATACTGCATATCCTTCTTGGCTATGTGCAGGAGCTTTGTCATGGAATCAGTGTTGTATTATTGAGGAAAGGAGGAGATAAGCATTTAAATCTTTTAATTTAAGATAACACAATGTCATCCATGGCTCTATGAAATACAAAGTTAAATACCTGCCTCACATGTACAATATGAGAATCAAGTATGATGAAATCACTGTTTGGTAACAAATATTGACAATGATCTGCCATCTGTACTAACAAAGATAATCACTGAACGGAGACAATCTACAAGCTTCGTTGCTTTTCTCTGCTGTGAACCACAAAACAAAGCAGCCTTATGTACTTCAAAAGTTTTAAGATTCAGCTGAAGTCACACAAATCAAGACATTTTTTGAAGTAAAATTATCTGTTGATAAAATAATACTCTTATTTAGGATAAAACTAAATTTTCTGTTCCGCATAGTTGTTTCATATCTTTTTGTAAGCAATCTACCTTTGTCTTTGAAGGCACTGAACATTCTACCAATTTTCTGGGTTTCTTCAACAAAGGTGGATGCTAGTGATTGTTTTGAAACTCATGAGTTTTTATTTTCTGTTCTCCCATTGATCAGCAAATAGAATGAAAACTTCCAGCTGATTGTTTTCCTTTTAAAGTAAATATATGCTAAAATACATATAAATTAAATGTGTATTTATAAGCTATAAAACATAGTATACAACATAGTCTATTAATGTGTGGTCAATTTAAGCTAATGGGACCAGGGTCCAAAGAAAACTGACTGGGCAAATAATGATTAATTTTAGAAAGAATAGCAGTAGCTACTGTTATTAGAGGCATTCACTCATGATCCCATTTTATCCTTACCACATTCTGTAACGTAGGCATTATTTTTACATTTAAATACTAGATGAGTGAAGTTCAATGAAGTTAAGTGATTTGCCAATAACTGCACATATTAAGTAAAGCCTGGATTTAATCCCACAGCTGCACTCTTTTCGTGTCAGATACAAAATAGGATCCTTCATGCTCATGATATAAGGTATCCGATATTCATAAGAATACTAGAAATATAATAATATTGTTTCCATTTTATATATGAAAAAACAACAACACTGAACTTCAGAGAGTTTAGGAAACTTGCCCAAGATCATATAAGTTGAAAGGTATGAAACCATAGTTCAAATTTATAGTTGTGGTTTTTATTATCCTTTGAATGAGTTCAGCTTTGAAAGGGCAGAGAAATTTAAGTTATCTATAATGGAAGGATCAACAGAAGATTAAAAAAAAAAAAAAAACATGTCTTGAATATATTTACAGGACACAGGAAGAGAATATTGAGAAATGGCCCCAAAGGCACTGATGCAAGAATGAATTTAGAACAGGAAAATCTCTTGGATTATAAGAAAGAAGTTATTTGGGAGCATAAAAGGGCTTATTAAAAATGCACTAAAACTCCTATAGTAAGGACATCACTATAAAATGATGTGCTGTGTCTGTCTAGCATCCTATGTCCCTATCATCTGGTATCAAAACCCCTTTCCTCTAGAGAACCTCTCAACTGCTCAGGAGGAGCTGATCAGCTCACTGTCAGCAACTGAGGGAGACTCAAGGCCTGGACAGGGCTAATCAAAACATCCTACCTTCCTGGCCTTAGCAACTGATTCGGGGACAGTAGGTTTCCAAGGCCAATCAGAATCCTCCAGGAATTCTTTCCTCCCTACCTCCCTGTCTCCCTCTCTCCCTGCTTCCCCCTTTGACCCCCCTCCCTCCCTCCTCCTGCTCCTCCTCCTCCTCTTCCTCCTCTTAAGCAGGAGCTATAGCAAAAAACTGGTCCCTTTTAAATAAAGTTATAAAACTGAAAGGATATGAGCCAGGCCAGTCTGCAG